AGCCTCCAACCCTTGCGGAAGGAGGGTTGTGGTTGGGCTTTGGGGCAGTGTTGGGTGACCTCGGGGATCCAACTCAGATCGAAAACCAGTAGTGCTCCAATCGGATGAAGCAAACTCTTCGAGATCCCGGCAGGCCAACGTGCTAGTAGAGGGAAAGAAGGAACGCCAAAACCTGGAGCAAAGGGTCAGACATGGAACCTCAAAAGTGGTTGGGGGACGGGAATCACCGAATTCTGATGTGCATGCACCCTTTGGGGTCCCGCAGGAAATTTCGGACCCGTTTCGCCAAACATACCAGTTGCCACATTTATGTACAAATCGTGCAAGAATAAACTCAGGTCTAGATTCGAGTTTCGAGTACCTAGGCTTTCTTGGATGATATCTGGCAAACAGGCATCACCGTGTAGAACTTGCAGGTCACTTTTGAGGCTGTCTGACCTGGCCTGGCAAACTAGCTTTTGTCCAAAAAACATAAAAAGTGGTGCTCTTGGAACCATAACTTATCACAAAAGAACATGATTTCCTGGCTTGTTTGTTTTTGTCCATTGTCTGTTGGTTTGTTGATTTGTGCGCTCTTTTATAGCTCTAAACCGGGGATCTCTTTCTGATCTTTATTTGGTTGCAAGATTCAATTATGGTCGCTGGGCTCCAGCAGCTTGTTTGGTTGGGGGCATCATGTTTGGCTTTTGGAGAAATGAAATGCAAATGCAAGGCGCCCTAGTTTGGCCTCTTTCACCCGGGCGCGCAGTGGCAGGACCTGCAGTCTCAGCACTTGGCCAACATTCTCTGGGCGTTCGCTCGTGTGAGGCGCCGCTTGTTGGGCCGGAACCGGACTGTAAACCGACACCGTCAGTTAGCCCAGACCTTGAGGTCCGCATTGAGGACTCGGACTTCGGGAAATCCCATGTAGCCCCTGTCCTCACATATTGTCCGTGGCTAGGTGGAGCCCTCGCGGAACCCTCCTTGCGTCCCGGAACCCTGGCGCGGCACCCTACCTCGAGCCGCCCCAGACCACCCCGAAGCCTATCTGGGCTGAGACCCCAGCGTTGGGGAAAAAGCGTCAAAAACCATCTCTTTGCGGATTCCAGTTAAGAAGGGTTATAAAACTTCCCTTTCAAGGAAACCAAGCTCGGTTTCCCCTATTTCGAAGGGCGCTGGTCAGGCCAAAGCACCCGCTGACGCTGCAGACGGTGCTCAGTCTGTTGCCGCTGTGTACGCAGCAGCTGCAGACCTTCAAGCCTCAGGCCGCCCTGATTTCAGGGAACCGCTGAATGCGTTTTGGCCGACGGTGTGACGGGCGCGTGTTTCAAAGGTCAGCAATGCTGGTTCGAACATCAAAAGGCGAGTATTTACAGGTGAGTAGAATGTAACAGTGTACGGCTTGTTGAGTTTAGTGAAAACGATACACTGTCTTGAAGGTGAATCATGGCCGTGCCTAATCCATAAACAGGGAGGCGATGAACTCGTTGGTAGCCAGGGTTCGAAGCCCGGGCTGAAGTGACACCACCCAAGGCCAGGTTGCTGAGCGCTGAACCCTGACACGGCTTGGCCACGTGGCTGGGCTAACATGTTCCTATCTTGGATGCCCTTTTTGGGTGTCCTTTTTTGTAAAGGAACCACAGCATGTTTCCAGGATCCCCAATTTTTCCCCAACAGCTGAAAGCTTTGGGGTCTCAGCCCAGATAGACTCCGGGTGGTCCGGGGTGGTCCGGGGCGGCCCTGAGGTAAGGTTCCACGAGGTTCCACGAGGTTCCACGAGGTTCCGGGTTCCACGAGGTTCTGCGGGTGGTGCGAGCACTAGAAAGAGCACCGCATGCTGCTGGGGATATCACCTGAGCTTATGAGAAAAGCTAACTTGTGGAATGGCTTGCCAAGTAAACGAACGGAGAGAGTCTAAGCACACAGCTGAGTGGTTGTGAGAAAACCAGCTGATATTCAGAGCACATCCTTGTATATCAGGTGGTTTTGGGATGTGTCCTCCAAGAAGCCCTGTTGGGCATGGTTGTGGACAATAGGGTTTTAGGTGGCCACTTTCTGTGATCCCAAAGGCATCCATTTCAAAGTGATAAGGTCGTCACGGGAATGATCCTATTGAATTGGTATCACAGAAATGGTGTTTTTCCACAATGAAAGTCTTTGCTTTTCATGTCGCTTTTGTGTTTCTACTGTGCTGGGTTACTTTTCGATATCAGCGCTGTGTTTTATGTTTGGTTGTTGTATCCCCTGCTTGGTTGTTGTATCCCCTGTTTGGTTTTTGTATCCCCTTTTCGGCTTTGGTTTTTGTATCGTTGTTTCTGTTTGCTTGCTTTGTTCTCTCCTTTGGACGGGGAGCTCAAAAAGTCTCCTTCCTGGCCAGGAAGTTTCTTCAACTCTGCTGGCGACAGCCAAGGCGGGGATGTGTGGGTGTGTTTTCTTTCAAGGGGGATGGTTTTCAAGGCAGACCAACAGGAAGTCACGCATTTCAGCGGAAAGGGGGGGTCCCCTATTTTGACAGACACATAAATCCGACCTCGATGCCAATTTTGCTGACGAGCTTCCCTCGAGGTTGATGCTTGAAAGACATGTAAGGAGCCGCGGTCAAGGAGAAACATGAGGCAAGCGCGCCGGACAGAAGCCAAAGAAACAAGAGAAACAAGAAGAATTCAGGCGTTTGCTTTCTTGCAAATAAGTCTTTCTGACTTTTTTGGGTCGGTGAAACAAATGCGTTCCTCTCACCCCTGCACGTTCCAAGGCGTGCATACCTACAACCTTTGTTCCCCCTGTCTCATGCCTTGGCTGTGAACCCGCCTCGTAAGGCGGTGGGCAATGCTGATGACATGGCCCCCATGTCGGCCACGCTGGACAACTTCCGCCAGGAGGCAAGAATGGCGGCGCTGGGCGCGTGCGGGGCGCGGCGCGTCCGACACGTGGTTTCTGGGGTGTTGCCTTTGTTCGGACCATTTGATGGGTCTTTGCTTAGCTGCAACCAGGCTTTCACTTTTAAGGGGTAAGCAAAAACTCACTTCCCCCCTGTTTCTGGTTGCCTGAGAGTCTTAAAGGCCCGATCCGACTTCCTAACCTTGGGCTTGAAAGTTCCGAGCCTATTGTCCCAAGAGTGCTTAACGCTCAGGACAATTCAAAGTGACTTCTCTTTGGGACGCTTGCCAAGAAGAAGTGAAGGCCCCATGTCTTTTGAGGGCAAACTCAAAGGAAAGCAACTGATTTAGGGCTGTCTGTAATCTGCAATGGAAAGCGTGTTGCCCAATCATTTGACAATTGGACGATGGGGAGATGAACCCAGACACCACTGGAATTGTGGCCAGCTTTTTTGGGGTCACAAGGACCTGCTAAGTAAAGGGAACGAGTTGATTCATGAGAACCGGAAAGCTTCTCCGGGACGCGGTGTCAACCTTACGCCTGGAATAATCCGCTGGCTCTCCACCGGTTTAGCCTTTTGGTCCCGAAACTCGCCACGCGTTTAGGTGTTTTGAGAGGGTCAGAAGAGCTTCCCAGTATATCGGCGGATGCCTTCTGGGTTGTCTTATAGGGAAACTGAAACACACTGGCTTCGGCGTTCTTTTGCCTTCCCTGAAACAGCACCTAAACGCCTCCTCCTCGTTTGCGTAGCTACACCAGAGGTGAGGCATGTTTCTTTGGAGGTCGTCTCTATATATGGGTCTACCTTTTGGGGTTTGTTTTCATGTTTGTTTGTCTTTTTCTGGGGTTGGGGGCCCTTCGCGACCCGTCCCCTTGCGCGGCTCGGCCAGCGTGGCGTGCGTCAGGTCTTAGACTTCTTCCACGCGTGTCTGCCGATGCCCCAGATGGAGAAAAGTGAGGAGTCAACGCTTCAGTGGAACAACCTTGCTATGCCGGGTGTGTTGCGCCCCGAAGTTCTCGGGCGTCTCTTGGGTCCTCCCAGAACCAATCCAATAAAGATAGAAATGGGGTGGGGACGAAAGACGAATTCGTTTCAGTGGAAGCTCAGTCGAGTCCGTGCAAACTCCACCTGGACACCACTCTTCCAGAGATGGGGGATAGTCTTGAGAATGGAAGGCAGCCTTGACTTACCAACCACTGTTCCGAAGACCTTTGCAGTTACATGGAGCAAAAACATCCCCAACTGTCCACTGTTGCAGAATTTGGGTTGGGTGGAGACAGCGCAAATGTTCCAATTCAGAACAAGCCTTGGGCATTCGCCAAACCCAAGTCTCACAACTGGGATGTTTGAACCGGCCCATAGGCCTAGGGTGGAATTTTGTCCGGAACCTTCCTGAAAGCTGCTCTGAACCGCACATCCCAGAGCTTAATTGGGCAAAAGCTTGCAGCTAGGGAAAACGACCAACATGAAGTATGGCCACCTGAGGACCCACGTAGAAAGACTCGTGGGGTTTCTACCTAGAGTGCTCTGTGGGAAACATACGGGGGTTACCGCAAAAGGTAGGCCACACTTTGGCAGCTCCCAGCCAAACTCTGAGAGAGCGTGAAATAGCGCAGGATTCACGAAATGGCCAACTAGAAGTTGAGCTGAGCGGCACATTTGGGGGGAACCCCGAAGCTACGTCAGCCCGGCAAGGCGAGCTGCAACGACTGGACCCCTTGCACCAACGGATTTTTTTTTCTTCTGGGGATTCTCTTGACACAGGTACCTCCGAGTCAAGGACAGCCACAAGAACCAGGCTGTTTTTTGTTGAATCTCCAGATTTCCGAACCCTCCCATGCGGAGAGCCCCACTGACTCAGCAACAAGTGTTGCTTGAATCAAACATATGTGCAATTCACAAAACACTTAAAGCAAAAGAGACCCTCCAGCAACAAGAGTGCCTTTTGTTCTTGAATGACACCTCAGCCGGACAGGGTGGGTGAAGAATTGAACCACTCCATGGGTTGGATCCAACCGGATTCTCACGGGACCAACGCGGGCAAATCGATCGACGGGTGAAACCGGGTAGCTCCCGGAGCTGGCGTAGGCCCTGGGTGGTGGCGCGACTGCGGGACTTCTCGGAGCAGTCTCTGGCAAACTCCGTGGCTCGCCGAAGGATTTGGGGTAGCCTTGGACTGGGTTTGCCCCCGAAATTCCGAAATGGGCTTCAGACTTCGGTTTCATTTTGGTTTCCCTCTCAAAGCCTCCACAAAAGGGTACCCCCAAAAAAGAGACCCCCCCCCCATTTCTTCAACTCGCTGGAAGCGAATCGACCGCGAGTCTGCCGTTTGGATTCCTTTGGCTTGCCTTTGATTTCTTCAACTCGGTTTCCCTGATTTGGTTTACCTTAGTCAAGGTTCCCACAGGTGAAGCGATTTCTAGGCCGGGCAAGTGAGTCAAAGATCCACTTCACGGGAGCCCCGACTCATAGGGGTCCTGGTTGCTTTTGATCGGGTCCCTTTTAATTCGGACCACTTTGGGGAACACCGGAACACTCCCCCAATCAATAGGAAGGGGTCTCCCAAAGGGTACCCAGGGTACAACTTGCCCGAAGAACTTTCCCGCAGGTTTTTCCGGATCTCTCCGAAGTTGTTTGGAAGATCAGTTTCCCATTGCCAGGCTTTCTTCCTGGTTCTCGAACTGTTTGTGCTTCAACTGTGTGAAAATCTTTAGTATAGGCTTTTGTCAAATGTCACCTTTTGGCCCTTTTGCCCTTTAGGGGGTCCACTCGCCTGGCCAAGTGCAGTGTCAGGTTCATCCAGGGCCCAAGAAATTGGTGCAAAGTGTGTAAGGATTCAGCTCTTAATATTAACCAAGTGTTTGTGTATCAATAAGTGCATTTCCTTTGCCTTAGCGAACCTTTTGGCCAAATGGACGTATCATGTTTCTTTTTGTCTATCATTATGCTCCTCCTTCTGCGCCTGAAGTCTAGGTCCTCTAAGGGGTCCGGGGAGGGAGGGCCTTTAATAAAGCAGGTTCCCCAATTTGCCTTCTTTGCAGAATTTGTTAATGTTGAAACGCATGTGGAAACATGAACTGTGTTGGCAATGCTTGACCATAATGGCGCATGCCATTTTGGCTCAAGCTTTGCCCTTGGGTTCTTTGAACCCAACTTGTGTGAAAAATTTGTGTTTGAACTCTTCCGAACTAACCCGAACCAGCAATGGCTTCCTCGGCAACCTCGGCAACTTCCTTCGAGCTGATTGAGGACCAGACGCTCACCGCGGAGGAGGTGGAAATGGCCAGCCAGGAGGCCCAGGAAATCCGCACACGCGAGGCGGCAGTGGCGGCCGGCTTGGTGTTGGACGAGCCCGAGGCCCCCCCGTCGGCTTCGGCTACCGACGTGATGAACGACCTCTCCAGTGCACTGGAGCGTCTCCGTGTGGCTTTCTCCACACCGACTTCCGGCTTGGGTGCCCCTGGCCCCGCCGAGGAGGAGGACAAGGACATGGAAGACGCCACGGAGCGGGCTACTCCACCAACGAAGAGGCTGAAGGGTTTCGTGGCGGCTTCCCAGAAGACCACGGCTCAGGCGAACAAACCGGTCTCCCTTGTGCCGGTGGAGGGCCGTCCCGGCTACTTCAAGTTAGTGGACCTCCCAGACCTCTTCCCGGTCCTTCCGGCATCGGCGGCCACGTTGCTGAGGGACGTCACGGTGGAGGAGGCGGTCTCCCTGTTCCACAAGTTTGTCGGGAAGAATCTCACGGAGGAGGACTTGGTGATTCGCATCCTGGAGGCCTATGTTCCGATGAAGATCCAGATCCGGCAGGAGGAGGTCTGGGCCTCACAGTTCCAGAGGAACAAGGCGTGCATTGGCACCCAGCGGATGCACAGACTCGATGCCGGCCACTCAGACTACAAATTCATGTGCAAGGCATGCGGCACGGGGTGGCCGGAGGCAGCCAAGCAATTTCAGGCACCCTCGGCTACCTACGAGGCGGACGGCGTCACTTACAACCTGCTCATTGTGGAGGGCAAGCCGACCTGGATCCAGCAGCGGGAAGGGGGAAGCCTGGGTGCCGCTGGCCCCGGTGGTACCCGGGCACAGGCAGACCGCAACCTGGTGGACGGCACGGTCCTGGGAAGAGCTCCCCCGAAAACGGACACGGCAGAGGAGATTACCATGGCAGACGTGGTCCCGCTTAACAGGCGGGTGGACATCCGGCAGGAGATCCTGTCCATGGAGGCGGACGACGAGGCGTTGAAGGTCCGGGAGCGCCAGGAGGTCAAGGTCAAAGTGCAGCGGTCCCTGAAGGAGGCGGAGGCTCAGAGCTTCCAGCTCTACCACCCCCAGGTGGACCAGGCGATCCGGAAGAAGGAGGAGCTGCATAAGGCCTTGAGGGAGCACCGGGAACCGACCCCGGAGGAGTCCTCGGCCAGGCGGCGGCACAAGGAGTTGGTCATGGATGAGATGCTGGACAATGAGATGGCTATCCTGGCGCCTCTCCAGGAGGGCATGCAGGCCCTGCCGTCAGAGGAGGTGGCCAACGAGGGAGCCCGGGCCCTCAGGAAGGTCAACCTGGAGCGATTCAAGGCCAAGCTGCGAGACCAGTACCTGGAGGGGAAGGGCGTCGACGCCAGCCAGGCACTGGCTGAGGCGATGGGCTCCATCCAGGAGGCTCAGGAGGCGAACAAGCGCACCCAGGACACCAACCGATGCTTAACCACACCCTCAAGCCCTTGGAAGTGTCGGCGTGGCCAGATGATCTCAGGCAGGCGCTGGAGAGGGGGCTGTTCTGCCCTCTGGAGCTGGATGACCCCGAGGACATCCCCAACGTGGGAGACATCAAGGAGAAGTATGTCCCCTACATCAGGAGGCTCAGAGAGGCGCAGAACCCATGGAACCAGGAGGCGCTGCTGGAGGAGATGCCCGATCTGGCGACACCGGCCCCCCCCAATATTGCCACTGGCCCCGGGGGGGACCAGTCAATGCCACAGCAGGACCTGGACTCGGAGGAGGGAAAGCTGTCCCTGCTCCTCTGGGCGATTTGGGGGGATCTGGAAGAAGCACTCAAGCGGTGAGATCCCCAAGGGCGCGGACCAGCAATTCAAGCTCACTCCGGAGGAGCTTTTGGCCCTGGAGCGCAGGACCCACCCACTCACGTGCGAACAGGACCACATCGATCCTGTCATCTACTCGGCCTTGGAGATCCGAGCGCAGGTGAACCGGGGCGAGCGCCCGGCGCCGGAGCAGGTGGTGGGGATCTTCTGGGCGAAGGGCGATGGAGGTTTTGGACAAGGCAGACGAGGACGTGGGACCTGCCGAGCTTGACGGGGGTGTACGCCCACCGGTTCACCTTCAAATACATCTACTCGGCCTGGACCACCTTCCCGCTGGTCGTGAAGACGCAGCGCCGGGGCCGCAATGCGGAGGGCTCGGCCTCGGACAAGTGGATGGGCAACATCCTCCAGATGAGGAAGGAGGCGGTCCCCTTCCTGGAGAGCCTGGGAATCCCCAAGCCGCGCACCAAGGCGGAATGGAGCTACATCTTCAAGGAGATGGGGACGTTTCTGGCGGCCAAGAATTTCATCGTTAACTGCCCGTTGCCAGTGATGGAGATCCCAGTGGCCCCCGTTCACGACAGCAAGGAGGCGCTGCGTTTCAGGGCGACGAGCGTATCACCCTTCCGCTGTCATCGTTGAGGGCTTTCGACTCGGTGTACACCAAGCTGGTGTCGGGCCTGAGTAAGTCCTCCATGGTGGAGATCAAGGTCAACTGGCGTTGCAACGTGGTCCATGACTCCGGTCCCGCAGGAGGCGGCGGGGTGCCCTGTACGACCGGCTGGGCTACTCCCAGGACCTTATCAGGCAGCTGGGTTGCTCCCCCCCCTTGGGTGCCTCTGGCCCCGGGGGAGGAGCGGCCAAGGAATCGGACCCCAAACCCAAGATTCTGGGGGAGTGGTGTCCGCTCCGCACGCCGGACCAGGGCACCAGGCGGTACCCTCCTATCACCACGTCCACGGTCACGGCGGTCGCGGGCCGGAAGTACATCAACAAGCACTTCGCGAAGGAGACGAAGCACGTGTTTTGGGCCTCCGTGGAGTGCGGCCTGGTCCTGCCCAGCATCAGCGCCTGGGAAGTGGTGGGCAAGGAGAAATTCAAGACCACCGGGGGCTACATGTGCAGGTTCTGCAAGGGCTTCTGGAGGGCGAGCCGCGGGGGGACCAGGCTGCTCCAGATCACGGGGTGGCACAAGGACAAGGCCACATGCCTGCAGCTGGTGATGGACGAGCCCCCGGAGCAACTATATAATCAGTGGATCCGGGACAGGATGGAGTTCTACAAGCGGGTGGAGCCGACGGAGCCTCCCAGGGACGAGCGGCTGGTCCTTGGAGATGCGAGCACCCCGCGCATGCGCTTCAGCTCCTCGAATGGCCTGGGGGATGTCTCCACTGCCTTGTGGTCGGTCATCTTGAGCAACCCGGAGAAGTCAGGGCTCGGTGGCTAAGGAGGCGATCTTGAAGGGTGAGAGCCGCTAGGTCGTGTCTCACAGCCTTTTTGGATGGGGAGTCGTGAGATCTCTTCCCACCGGGACTTGGGTGCCTCTGGCCCCGTCTCGGGTGGGGGGAGGAGTAAGGGTGCCTCCCTTTTGGGTTCATCTTTCGCCTGGGTTTCCCCCTGTTCAACGCACCACGACTGCCGGTTTGCCTCGAACTGGAGGCTGCACGCTTTGGCTGCCCCAAGGACGGGCCATATCGGCCACAGTTTGGAGAAAGTGGCTGCGGCTGACTCTGGGTTCCCTGAGGTCCCCTTTAGGGTTTTGGGGAATCCCCCGCCGGGTTGGTCTTCCCCCCTCCGTGGTCCTTTTTTGGGGATTTCCGGGGGGTTTGACTTTCGGGTCCTGTTGGGCTGCATGGCCTGCCTGCCCCTTTTGCACTCGGCATCCTGTGGGGTTGGAACATGCGTGCAGTGTGCCGTGGTGGGTCCCGGCCGTTCGATAGGAGGCTCGAACCCCCCCCGTTTTCATCATGGCTAGGGTCTCGACAAAGTTTCTTTTGCGCCCGCCTTACACTCGCCTTTGGGACCGCATTCCAAGGGTCCTGTGGGACACGTTGGCGGATGAGTCTTCTCCCCGAGACAGACGGACGGGGAGCTACTGGTC